AAAAATATTACCTATAGTTAATACTTTCTGAGAATATTATTTTCATAAGTGTCACAGGTTATTTCTGGTCAATTTTAAAAGTTAACAATATTATTTGAACAATACGCATATCGACCGTGAAAGTACAAAATCTCGGTTTGCGGCCTTGTAAATTTTCCACTACATACTACATTTTTAAGAGATGACTTGCATTATTATTGCCCAATATTCCGCGGCTTTTTGTTTGCAGTCTCCAGAGTGTTCCCTGAAAATTTAGTACAAAAATGTCTAAATGCAGGCATTGCAGGCATTGTATGCATGAAATGTTGAAAAAGTCTATAAAATGCAAAACATTGATACTGCGAGTGTTTAAACAGAGAGATATAAAGTTTTTCTTGATCTGGGGAAAAATGCAATTTTATTAGCGGGTATATGATTTCAGAGAAAATCACAGGCAGAGAACAGTCTTAGTTCCTGCATAAATATGACACATCATCAATTAAATTCATTAGAAATAGCATTGCAAAACATGCAATCATTTTTTGACAGGCTGCGATGTATAAAATTTATTGCAAACAAATCATTTCACTTATACGCGCGAACACCAGCTCATGTATTGATGCAACGCATTATTTGCTACAACAACAATTTCCAGAAAACACGTGCGTAAAAATCTCAAGGTTGGACAAAAATGCGCACCAAGACTATAGTCCTTGCTCTTTCCCATAAACAATTTTCAAATTGCAGGTGAAAAACGGCTGAGTCGTAAAAATACAGGAAATTGTTTTCTCCGATACTTATTTCTTAGTTGCACGAGAGAATATGAGTTGGCAAAGAATCGAAGATTGGTTGAGGGGAGGGTATTTCGAGGAAGAAGCACTCTTTTAAAGCGCTAGAGAAAGCAATTATTCTTCATTGGAGCATCTGATTGATGCATTTTGTATATACAATATTTTCTCTCTATGAATGGATCTAATAAGACTGTGCAACTTCTTATGTAGGTAAATACCAGTACCTGCATATCGCACAGATATGTAAATGGGAAAATGCAGCCACTTTCAATTAAAGAAAAAAATGATCAAATTAAATTTCTTATTATTTAATTGCTTCATCATTCGCATTACCTAATATTCTGCGGATATTTCTTTAGGGGAGAGCAAGCAAAGTGGAACTTGTCTTTCAATGCGCCTCTGATGATTTATTTGAAGTACATACTTTAGAACCTTCTGTTCCTTTATAATTAAAGTTTTAACGCTTTTTTATCAAAAGAAGGTGCAAAAAGCCGAAAACAGTCTTTAAAAAATGCCCAGAAAATTGAACATGAAAAAAGAGGATACATTCCATTTTGCCCTCCTGAAGTTGGGCAAAGTGGAATCCAAGACACCGCTCTTTGAGATATTATTAATAATTAAAAGAAGAAAACGATTCAGTTGGATTTTTTTTTTTTTTTTAATCGAATCCAGAACAATTAATGATTCATTACTAAACAATTGCAACAATTACTCAACAATTACATTGGATCCATGGATTTATTAATTCAACACTTTTAAGTACACACAAGCTCTCACGAGCGCGAAACACATCTGTCGAGTGCCGGCTACTTACTTTAGTTACTTTCGTGATATATTATTGCTTATACATGGCCGGATTTACCTACTTGCCGCCCATGGGGCGCCTGTATTTTGCCACCCTCTTCTCATGCATTTTGAAACATCAATAAAAACCATCAAAGGAACGTGCCGGAGGGAGAAGGGTGCATAAAACGCGTTCACTCGTGTTGGACAAATTTTTTGCGTAAGCCCTGTCATCACTACCAGCAAAAGCTCACGGAACTTCGCGCGAAAGTTCAGTTCCGTAAACCTATCTCTGTGTGGACAAGGCCTTTCATTTGCAAGAAATGAACTAGAAAATTAAGAAAGAACAAACATAAATGTGATTCAATAATTTTATCTTCCGCCGCCGTGCCGCGCTGACCACACCGTGATTGGCGCAATGCGTGAAGTATTCATGTAGTCTTGTAGGCACTGTGCGTTTCACGCCGCGCCGCACCGACCGCTGCGCTGTTGACCGTACTGTGTTTGACGCAATGCGTGAAGTATTCATGCAGTCTCGTAGGCGTCAATATGTGTTACATGCCGACCGCCGCGTCGAGGGCTTCTCCTTTTCATCTCAAGTCCTCGTCATCATTTCTCTTTGCGCCGCGCCGCTCTAGGCCAAATTACGTGTTTGGTTTCTCCTTAACTTAACTAATTAAAGGTGCGCAGTTCTTGTATCACCGAAATACGAAAAAATTAGAAATTAATGAACTCTCAGAGATTTTGTCACCTTTTCTTGTTTGTAATTTTTTTCTGAATCCGATTTTTTGGTGCTTGCATTTAAAAAAATTGCAAAATTTGCCGCCCCCTAATTTTGCCGCCATGGGCCGCGGCCCATGTGGCCACCCCCTTAATCCGGCCCTGTGCTTATACTGTTCTTTTTGTATAGGAACACTTTCTAATAGATGAATACCCTCTCTAGTTTCGATTTCAAGCACCATAGGACGGATAGAATTTTTAAAAGAACCATATTCCACTTTAATTGCCCATTCCACTTTGCCCGCGGCTCCACGGGCGCGAAAAAAAATTGCGAAGGACCGATTTTTTACTGACGTGATTTTTCATTGGTTTTGTGGGTATTTCTCGCATGAAACAGTTTCTAAGAGAGAGGCACCCTCTTTATTTCCAATTTCAACCAGCAGAGTCACCACAGAACGGACAGAATTTTTTTAATGGCCAAATTCCACTCTGCCCGACCGTTCCACGTTGCCCGCCTCTCCCCCGACTGTTAAAGAATAGGATGTGTGGAAAAACCCACCCTTTTTTGTTGAAGTCCGTAGTCGCT